ACTTTCGCAAGGCACTGTACTATTGGGGAATAGTGTCACAAGATGTGGCAGTGCTACCAGACCAATATATCTCCCAGGAGTCTTGCATAGTTATTTTAGTTTATTTAGTCTAAATAGCAAGCTTTTTTTATGCTAACTGTACATCTCTATGTTTTATTTACTCTCATTCTCAAGAAATTATTGCACTAAATACCGCAGTCAATTTATGATTTATTGCTAAAAGGAGCGCATTTGTTTATTACATTAAGAAACGGTAGTGAAAGCTTCAGTGTAAGAGAAGCTTGTAGTGTAGCTTGTTGTGTTTGTAGCTTATGCTACTTCCAGCTAAGAGTAGTTGCAAGCTACATTTTCAAAGCACCTTACTAAACATTGCCATCAGGTTATCACATTCATTTATCACCATAACTCTGCCATCTTTCTGAACAGGACTTTTTCCAGCAGCACTGCAGCTGTGGTGCAGCCAGCATGGCCTTCCAGGATGCTCAGAAGAGACACTCCAGAAGTGAGTTTTTGTCACCCAGCGGAACCCTCTCTGACCTGACCACAATCCCAGAGGTCACACGGCATTCATTCATAACCAGGAGAGGTAATGGTAACGCACATTTCACTTTATTTGATCGAAAATTAAGGAAATTGTTCAGAAAAGAAACTGTCAAATGGAATTCAAGGTGCTATTGAACAAACTTGTGTTGACATTGTGAGCACTGAATGCAAGTGTTGAGGTTCATTTTGCCTCCATAACAAACATGACAAATTAGATTTTCACACTGTAAACAAACCCTCAAGGTAGTCAAATGTATTTGGAAGAGAAAATGAAAGTTAAAAGGAAAAAATATTATCCAAATGTCTGTTGTAAACCACTGCAGTTTACAGACTCACTTATTGCTTCAACTTTGACCTACAATACTGAAGGTTATATAATACATTTGAAAACATTAATATAGCAGCAAACAAATATTGTCTATGTAAAGATAGTGGAGTTGTGGTGTCCTGAGAAGAGAATAACAAGCTAAAGTTACATGGCAGCAATAGCAGCCCATTTCACATTTTCTCATCTAAGTTGGTGAATTAAGGGTTTATTAAGACCAAACCAGAGTTGGTGATTGCTTGAAAGGCTGCGGAAAGACTAATAAAGATGGTTTTGGTGAGTTTGAAACTGAAAGTGGACAGGACAAACTGGAAGCTGTTAATTTAATGAAATGGTTGATATGGGTTGATCAGAAGTTCATGTATTTATTAGAAAACTATTTATAGAACAGCCTCAGAGTTGAGCTTCCGATAAATCTTTTTGATCACAAGTGTAAGAGAACTGTTTTTTGTATCTGATGATACTAGTAAAAAGTTGATTATCTGTACGAGATTCTCATTTCAGCCAACTGCTCGCTCAATTATCATAACAGGTATAAATGATGGAAGTGTCTGAGGGAGAAGGGATGAATGCAAGGTTGGCAGTTTAGATAGAGCAGCTTGTTTGGACAAGTACACATGAGTATTTTCTCTTGATGCCACTTCATCTAGTACAGTGCTTTTATAAGCCTAGAAGATAAGATATTCTTTAGTGGACTGGGCCCACCAGAGTTCCAGACTCTGTTTCTCTGAGACATACTGTACTTTTTGCTGTGAGTCAACTGAGTTCCCTGGAGGTTATTGAAACCACTCCTAATTAACCTTTAGCATTTAATTACTAGTAGGATCAGCACTTAATAACCTGCTCCAGTGGGATGTGTCAACAAACACACACAACCACATATTAATGTTTTAGTTTCAGTGTTTGTCTGACACGTTCCTGAAATGGATCTAACAGTTATGTTATTAAAAAGTTTTACTGGTACTTCAGTTTCACAACCTGACCCTGAGGCAACCCCACGTGTTTTTCTGCCTCTGTGTTTACCCTGTCATCAGACACAAGCTCAAGGTGATGTTCGTCATTTGGGGGTACAGTCATCCCCCCTAGATGTTATCATTGCTGTTGTGTTTTTGGAGTGGCTCACGTTGCCCGAGGAGGCGGCAGTGGTTGACAGCTTGGTGGGCCCACGGGGAAGATTAAATTATAACTGGAATGGGACACGGGCGGAATTCCTGGCATCCTGCTTATGACGGGAACACATAATGTCCCGTGGACTCTGGAATGCCTTGGTTCTTCCTCTGATGGGCAGGAAACTGGATCTGGAGAAGAGGTTGAGAAGTCAGGAGAGATGGGGGGCCCAGATTAGGTGCAGTGTTGGAGTGGATAGCTTTGCTTCGGTCAAGGTTAAATGTTACTATGGAGTAAAACTGTATTGTCAAACAGCCACAGATTGTTGGACACAGGAACAGGTGGAGGAAATAATGAGTTAGAGGCAGAGAAAAACAGGATTAACAGTGTTTGAGCTTGTGGAATTGCTGTTGGCTTTGTTGGATTGTTGCATTCACTGACAAAGGGCACCAGGTAATGCAAAAGTTGCTAAATGCAAGTTTATAGTGACTTTTCTGATTTTCATGTACTTAGACACTAAAACCTTAGACACAGCGTTAGCCCTAGTTTGGGGGTTTCCTTATCTAGGAGTGTGCCATGATCAGTAGAAACTGTGTGCACATGTGATGAGGGGAGGTGTGTTTACATGGAACAGAGGCAAAAAACAGGACTGTGCTGATTTCCATCACCATTTGTCATAACAGTCATCACTCCCTTCTCAGCATGCAAGCAAAGGCTTCCAACATGTGGACAAACACTCCACCTCACAAACCAAACCTATACAGTCAATCTGCAACATTAAAGATACTGACATTATGGTGTAAGACAGAGTGACCATTTACACTGAAACTGGCTTTCTAAAGGTTATATGTCTGGAATTCACTTGCCACTGGATGTTGCACTAGAGCACCAGCATCTCAGACAAAAACACTGGGACATTTATAAAATATAACTCACCAAAACCATCTTGGTTAGTCTTTCAACAGTCTCTCCAACCATAACTAATGCTGGTTTAACCACAAACGAAAAGTTTTATACTGCTATCACTTGCCATCAGATTTCATAGGCAAAAATGGTATATTTATAATCTGAGTTAGATAAGAAAGTATCTGTGAAAAGGGCCGAAATGGCCACAAAGTAAGCCAACGTTAATCCTTGGGGACGAACGTGCCCGTCAAAGTACGTCCACTACAAGTGCTTGTTTTTGCCACTGACAGGCTCAGATTGTTATTCTAAGTGCATGACAATATTATGGACAGACCTTTACTTTAACCAGAAACAACTGTAATACTGCCACTGGATTCTTTTTACCTGGTACCATTTACCTCTCAAAGAAGCAGTTAACTGAACTTCAAAATAGCTTTAAAATGATTGAGCTGCCTTACATAAATACATGAACAGTGATTTCACTCTTGCTTACCCGAGCCAACTCTCCCACACACACGGTAACTGCCTCTTATTTGTGATTTGTGTTTCAGACACCAGCAGTGAGGGTTTGACACCGGTCCCACTGTGGAAAAGAGGCCTGAACCGAAGGAGTTACACAGAGGGGGAGGTCCGCTTCCTCGGGGACAGCACCGAAGGGCTCTCCATCCCCCAGTGCAGGGTGAGTGATGTGCACAAGCAAGCATCCCATTCAGCAGTGTCTTGGTATTGTTTAAGATAGGACAGCATTTAAAATATTTTATATCCATGACTGTCTCTCTACAGAAAATAATACATCTTTAGCACTGATTGTATTGCAACCTTCACTTAAAAAGGGTGGTGCGTATCTGCATGCAGGGTGACCCACTGCTACACCCCCCGCAACACACTCTGAACTCACTTTGAGGATTTTCCATGTCGCACATTCCCTCTGTTAACCATCTTATATGGCAAAGGCAGGCGCCGCACAACTCTCATCCTGATGACATGATGATGAACTGAAATGCTTAACCTTGGAGGGGTGATCCTCCTTCTGCAAGGGCCCCCAGCTGTTGGGAATTGACAGTAATTAATGTAGCAGGGAGGAAATTGCTGTCCAAACACAATAAGTCTTGTTTTTAGCTTGGACATCATGCATTCTTGAGTCTTTCCATTGTGTGTAACATTTAGGAG